TATGCCTGTTCGCAGGTAGTGCTGTGAATAATATAGTTAACAACAAAAATCATGACCAAAGACACCAAAATTGTATTATAAAACACTTAAAATGTAGAAAAATTGGGAATCGACTCGCATTACCTCAATTCCATTCCCATTTTTGAGGACTTAATTTCCCATTCCCAGTGGCCAAATCCCAGTCCCAGCATAGTTAATAGAGGAGATGGTTTGGAAACTCATTAGCATTACAATAAACCTCACTATCTCTGTTTTTGTTCAGGTTTATGCAAAAATGTGGTCTTTCATCGTCACGTGCGTATTGTATTTTTGCTCAACCAGCCAATAGCAACGGTTTTGTCCAATTGCTCATCCATGACTTTAACAATAGGACATTTTGAACATTCCTATTGGTTGACTTGAGAAAAATACAATACGCGCGTGACGATGAAAGACCACATTTTTGCATAAACCTGAACAACATAGATAATGAGGTTTATTGTGATTTTATTGTAATGCTAACGAGTTTCCAAACCATCTCCTCTATTAACTATGGTCCCAGCAACCCAAATCCCATTTTCCCAGTCTAAAATTAGATCAATCCCTATTCCCATTTTACCCCTTCAGGACCCTCTAAAAATCATTCACGACAAACACTTCACGACACGTTCGCGACAGTTACAACCATATGGGAACCAGGCTTAATGATTCAACTGAACGCCGTAAGGGCAACCGAGCTCAATGCTCTTTAACTGACCTCCTTGGTCTTTCACGGGAGTAACACATCCCTTTTTGCGCCAGTCTACTTCTGCAGGTAAAGTATCCACTCCTGGTAAAGTGCTTACGTGTTTTTCTGGGCCATGTGCTTTCTTCAGCATGAAAATTCGGAACTCAGTTGGTGTCAAGTCCGACCACTTGTTAAGCCCCATGGTGAAACTACGATCTGCCTTGTTATGCTCTTCAATTTTCTATTGTATAACGAATTAAATGATTATCCAATGATGCGAGGCCTACACGCGTAAAAACCTCACATCTTGTAGCAAGTCTGCTAGCAAGCCGTCAACAAGTTGTGTTCGCACTGCTTGTCCCAAGTTGTCAACAAGTTTGGAAGTAACAACTTGTAACAAGTTTGGTGATATTATCAGACTTGTTGCAAGGTTGTTCCAACAAGTCCGATTACAGTCATGATGTAACAGCATTGTTACAATCTTGTGTCGTCAACCTTGTAACATTCTTGTTATATCATGACTCTATCAGACTTGTCAGAACAACCTTGTGACAAGTCTGATAATGCCATCAAGCTTGTTACAAGTTGTTAGCAGCTTGTTCCAAACTTGTTACAACAACTGGGAACAAGCTGAGCTAAGCTGTGCGAATTAGACAACTTGTTGACAGCTTGTGAAATGCAATCGAGTATCAACGATGTTGCTGTTGAATAGTTATCCCGATGTGTGCGGGGGAAATGCTACGTACACACGTATAAATCTCACATCTTGTAACAAGCTGTTAACAAGTTGTGTTCGCACTGCTTGTCCCAAGTTGTCAACAAGTTTGGAACAAATTGTTAACAACTTGTAACAAGCTTGTTGATATTATCAGACTTGTTACAAGATTGTTCCAACAAGTCCGATACAGTCATGATATAACAATATTGTTACAACCTTGTGATATTCTCGCTATATCGTGACTGTATCAGACTTGTTAGAACAACCTTGTAACAAGTCTGATAATACCATCAGGCTTAATTGTTACAAGTTGTTAACAGCTTGTTTCAAACTTGTTACAACAACTGGGAACAAGCAGTGCGAACACAACTTGTCGACAGCTTGTGAACAGACTTGTAACAACTTGTTTTAACAGCTTGTTTCAAACTTGTTACAACAACTGGGAACAAGCAGTGCGAACACAACTTGTCGACAGCTTGTGCACAGACTTGTAACAACTTGTTTGCAGACTTGTAACAACTTGTTTGCAGACTTGTAACAACTTGTGCGTTTTTACGTGTGTCGTTTTTACGTGTGTACACACGTAAAAATCTCACAACTTGTCAACAAGATGTGTTCGCAACAGGCTTGTAGCAAGCTTGTAAACAAAGTTGTAACAATGCTGTTATTCTATGAAGTTGCAACAAGGTTGTCGCTCACAACTTGTTGACAAGTTGTTGAATTGCAGGACGATAACAAGTTGTTGGAACAACTTGTAACAAGTCTGTCGAACTCAACAACCTTGTAGCAAGTTGTCAAACAAGCCGTTGACAACTTGTCACTGAACAAGCTGGGAACAAGCAGTGCGAACACATCCTGTTGACAAGTTGTTGAAACAGCATTGCTATACGGCATGGCATATTGTTTCTCTCGTGTGCCGAGAATTTTCGTGAGGATCGTTACCTCTGCTCAAATTTTATTTGTATGAAACGTAATCGTTAATCTTACCTTTAAATTATAACGCCAAATTGCGCGTCTGAAATTCTCCTCGTACGTGTCGGCGTACAATTTCGTATGTAAATTTTTCCATTCTGCCCATTTTTCGTTCTCCCGACTGACAAGCTTAAGAAGGCTCGCGGAATTGACTATCCCGGTTGCCAAAGCAAGTGTCAATGTCAGTGGTAGTATTTTAAAAACACTCTTCATGTCAAAAATGAGGTAATTAAACTTAGTCGATCGCGCTTCGACGCTTCGTAGTTTAAATTTGTTTGAAAGTTGAGACGTTTGTATTAGGCTATTTATTATTTTAAGTACACAGAATAATCACACTAACTTCGACATGTCAAAACATGTCTCTGCCATCTTTTAACACTATAGGGGCTACCAAAGCGAGCAGTTATTGAATGTGCATTTTCACAGCATTTTTTAAAGAGGATTTTTTGTATATATATGTTACGTAACACGCGCTCAAAACTAAGGAGTATAATATACCACTTGAGTTTATGACCACCGATTCCAAATTTTTACTTTTCGATTCCTTTCTCAATCGGAAACAAACTTAATTAAAGTATGTTTAGTGCTTCATCTGTAAAATAATGCTAAAATGAAGAGATTTTAGATTGTACGCCAAAGAGAAAATGATGTCTGAAGTTCAGTAGGTTTTGCTTGTAAACTATTGCAGGTCATGTATTACTAGTGGCGTCACTCAGTGATCGTTTACAAGGCGTTGCCGTTGGTATTTGTATTTAATTGACAATTTTTTACTATTATTTTATGTTTCTCAACCAGGAAATGCATTTAAAATGGTAGCTAACTGTACCAACTCGAGAATAAAGCTAAAACAAAACAATTTTAAGAGATACGCCAAAACGATTCCATTGCAAACACGGCAACGTGCAAAGTAAATGTATATTTTATATTTGTATGTTTTTATATTTGATATATCAAAAAGAAATCACACTGTAAAACTATAATAAATGTTCCCAGTTTTGTAAATGCAGCAGTACGTATCAAAGATAAAGCTGTTATGACCAAATTAACAACATAAAATATAGAACGGATAACTACGAAAGTATTATAGTGAGTAAAATTAAGTTGTCCTCGTATTAAAACAAACTATTTTTAAAGACACGAATTTCCACCAAACAATTATTTGAAACAATTAGTTTCGGAAACAGAAATGCTTAAACCAGTGGATAGCTAGCAGTCGTAGCTATTCCGCATTGATTATTTCTGTTCCTCGCCATCATGATGTAACCATCCATGCCCCAATTTGTACCCCAGCTATTCTTGACCAGCCAGTAGTCTTGACCATTCAAACTACCATATCCTACCACCAACACGGCATGGTCAAGCAGGGTGGTGCTGCATGCTGATTCGTAGTAAACGCCATCTCGGTAAAGTTGGAAACTTTGGTGGCTTGCGTCGATTGCGACAGAGATAGGACCGATGCTCGCGACTGCTATTTGCAGGTCTTGTTCCGAGTACTTTGTGATATCCATGTGACCTGAAATATTTATCATACTGGTGACTTAAGATGGAATTTTTAGCGATGGGTGATTTCAAGCAAAAATCTTGTGTACGTTTTGGGAAAATTTAAACAACATGTTTCCACAAAACACAGAAATCTCACAAAAATATCCCTAGTAAAAAATCCAAAACTAAACTATAAATTTATTTATATTCTGGATTGCTCTATCAGTTCTAAACTATTCTTCCTAGAGGTCCAGTAAGGATCATCTCTTATTGATCCAGTGTTACTACAGGAGGAAACCTAAACTAAACTAAACTAATTTTATTTATACTGGATAGCTCTGTCAGTTCTAAACTGTTCTCCCTAGAGGTTCAGTAAGGTAATTTCTTATTGATCCAGTGTTACTACAGGAGAAAACTAAACTAAACTAATTTTATTTATACTGGATAGCTCTGTCAGTTCTAAACTGTTCTCCCTAGAGGTTCAGTAAGGTAATTTCTTATTGATCGAGAGTTCCTACAGGAGGAAACCTAAACTAAACTAACTTTATTTATACTGGATAGCTCTATCAGTTCTAAACTGCTTCCTAGAGGTCCAGTATCTACAGTAAGGATCATCTCTTATTGATCCAATGTTCCAGGAGGAAATCTAAACTAAACAATTCATATTTATTCTGGAAAGAACTGTTCTCCCTACAGGTCCAGTGAGGGTCATCCCATATTGATCCAGCGCCTAGAGAAAAAAACCCCGGAGTACCCGGGCAAAATCTGTAGGGTTGGGTAGAGGACCCAACCGAGCCCGCAGATGAGTTACGCACCTGTGTCAGTGGCGCCAACAGTTGAAGATTTGAAATAGCAGTACCCGAGCTCTCTGCCATAGTACGGATAGCTCGCTTCAGTATCGATACCGCCATTATCCTTGATGTAAGTGAACGCATTATCCATCCACCCTCCCTGGCATCCTTTGTTGCCATATGTACCAATGCAGCAATCGACCAGATTCTGTTCACTGAGTGAGACAAGATTACCAGTCTTTTTAAAATGTTGCCCCTCCAATGAGCCAGTGCTACTGAACGCCCAGCAGGATCCGCATTGTCCTGGATGCAAGGAAATAAAAAGTTGAATCACACACGTCTAGTACGTTAGGTACTTAGTTTTAATTGGTTTGTTAGCAAGTTATTTAATTAGTTGTTTTTTTGTTAATTAGTTAATTAGCTAATTAGTTAAGTAGTTAGTCAATTAGTTAATTAACTGACTAATTAATTAATTAATTAATTAATACACTAATTTACTTATTAACTAACTAATTAATTTATTAACTAATTCGCTAACCCTTATTAAGTTAATTATTTAGTTAGTTAATTATTTAGTTAGTTAATTATTTAGTTAGTTAATTAATTAAATAATTAAGTAATTAATTAATTAATTAAAATTAATTAGTTAATTAATTAGTAAATTACTTAGTTAATTAGTCAGTTAATTATGTAGTTAATTAATTACTTAATAAGTTCATTATTTGGGTATAGCTAATCAATTAATTAATGCTTGCCGTTAAGTAGTTATATAGTCAGTATTGAGTAGTTAATTAGGTAGTTATTCACTTTACTGGTTAATTTCTCAGGACGTCAATAAGGCCGTTATTAAGCGAGTCAGTTATAGTTCTCATTTCATTTGTCAACGCTGAAAACCGCTACAATTTACCTTGATTTTTGACAGGCGTGACATAACCCTTGGTACGCCAGTCAACCGTGGCAGGAAGCTTGTAGCCACTTGGTGGCAGGTACGTAGAGCCAGTGTCTTTGGCTTGATCCCCTGGATACTTTGCTCCAAGCATCAGAGCGCGATATTCTGTTGGAGTTAAATCTCCCAACTGATTCATTCCTAATGTGAAGTTGCTTTTGTCATTGTTATGTTCTTTGATGAACTGTGGGAATAAGGTTGAATTCAATTATAGTTAATACAGTCGAAGTGTTTTTGTTGTTCTTAAAAGCCAAAAAACTACTAGATTCTTTGACAAATAGCGAAATATTATTCCATTCTTTAAGAAAAACATATACTGCGATGTTCGCTGTGCTGAATTGGTTCTACAAAGGGCGAGTCTTCAAACTGTTTATTTCTTGTGTCATGGCAGGGTGAATCACTTTCTTTAATTTCTTCCATACTAAAAGTCACCATTATTGTTTTTTAAGGCTTTGTAATTCACTCTATGAAATTCTTCCAAGCTACATCTATAAAGTTGTCTTCTATACGACAATGAATATAGGCGCTCTGACAGGAGTATACAAATCCGCCGATTTGAAGAAAAATCCACGATCCGACAATGGTCTTGTCTAAATTTGAACCCGCTAAAAGCTCTACTATGAAGTCACAAGCCAGGATCCGAACTAAATTCAAGCTAAATCCACAGTCCGAGCCAAAATATTAGATAAATCCGCATTCCGCTGTATTAATAAGATCCACAAATCCGTGTAAAATATTCGCCAGATCCAAAATCCGAACAATTTTTTCTGTGAAATCCGACGATCCGAAAACCTATTCACCTTCCTCCCCAATGAAAGTCGTAAACAGTTTTACTATCATTTCCCCAGCTATAAAATTCCAGTCTTTTCTAACAGACCGTATCGCTAATCAAGTTATCAGATCATAAACCATAGTATTATTTTATAATTGAAGTCAAAATACGAAATTTCAGCACTCTCCTTGCAGACACGAACAGTAGAAGGCGACTGAAAGAAACTGACGTCGAATAATTCCATCAGCTTTAGCTTTAGCCCGTGTGCAGGCCCAAGGGAACTCCCTTGGGCCTGCACGCGGGCTACTTTAGCTTCACTTTTTGGAGTCGTCAATTCTCACAAGTGATGAGACAATTTGATGACGTAAATGATTCAACACTCGTGATGGGAACATATGTTGCAAAAGAATGCGGAAGTATCTATCTCCTAGCCGTTTTTGGCAGGGACGGATACACGGATGAAAGTAAAAACGTCTCGTTGAAACAGCATTGCTTCTGTATGCTTTTCGTTTCATCCTTTTAGTCATTTAATCTTTATCTCTCTATATATTGTACGCAATATAAAGCCTTGTATGAGAGTTGATGAGAGTTTCGACTCCGACCTCGCAAGCCAGGATAATTTCAGCCCACACGAGGTTGTTTCGACTCTCGCTCGAGTTTGACAGCGAATTCTCGTCGAAAAATAAACAGCATGCATTGCTTCAAAAAAAGTAAAAACGTCTCGTTGAAACAGCATTGCTTCTGTATGCAATTCGTTTAGTCATTTAATCTTTATCTCTATATATATTGTACCCAATATAGAAGCCCAACAGGGGTGTGACCTAGGTCGCTTGTCACTAATTTTGTGGCTGCTTTGTCGCTTGTTTTATTGTAATAAATGTCGCTGTCACTTTTGACCCATAACACAAATTGCAATTTGTCACTTTTTCCCAGTCAGAAGCTGTCGTTTGTCGCTCTTTTTTAGATAGTCTGTCACCTCTTTTTAAGGAATGTCACCTGTCGGTCATAACCCCTTAGTGGGCCTCAATATAAAGCCTTGTATGAGACGGTTGGTGAGAGTTTCAACTCTCGCTCGAGTTTGACAGCGAATTCTCGTCGACTCTCGTGCATTCTCACCATCTTTGAACGGATTCAAAGTTTGATGAGAGTTTTTTCGCTACTAAGATCCAGTCGACTCTCGTCAACTCTCATGGGCGGGGCCTCTCATGCAACTCTTGAGCCTGTTTCAAACGTCGCGCTTCTTCGAACACATTAGAAACAATATATAATGAGGCATTTCTCAGCTGACTATCCATTGTTTTTATAATTTTAATGCGTTCGGCACATGAGCTTAAAAATTTACCCCAGAGGGAGTAGAGTTGCTCGCAAGAATTCTCATTCTATTTTACATATTCAAATTGCATGCCAAATGAAATGCAAATTTCACTTCCAAAGCACAATATCTTTTAAGCAGCAAATACCTGTAAAGATTTCTCGTTGATATAGTAAATCCCACTAATCCGAAAGAGAAATTCCGATCAAAAATCCCAATTAATTACACTTTTACCAGCTATTAATCCATACTACTTAGTAATTCAACAGAACTGAAGTCTAAAGAAATACAAAACCTGTATTCTAAAAACGCACTCACACTCAAAGAGTGGAGGTTCAGTCTGAGCTTCCCTTGAGTGTCAATGCTGTTTTTGAAAAGCTGGAGAGTTAGTCCCGTACCTTACTATGACTACTCACCCTCCAGCTATTCAAGAACAGCATTGACACTCAAGAGAAGCTCAAATTGAACCTCCACTCTTTGAGAGTGAGTGAGCTTTTAGAATACAGGCCGCGAAAGACTTCACAGGTATAACGGTATAACTAATTATCAGAACGGTTTTGTAAATGAAAGTTTCATGTGTGAATTTTGTACATTTATTATAAATCCTAGGCCATCTGGCATTCTAAACTACAGCTACCCTGCGATTTCGGTGCAGCGCTCTAACCAGTTGAACTAACACTGCTTACCTCCAAGTTCGCTTGCCAGATAGCTTTACGATAATTTTCGACGTATTCATTCTCGTACACTTTACCGTGAAACTTTTTCCAGATTTCCCATTCGGCGTCGTTCCCCGGCAGTTCCAATTTACCGTATGTTTGTGAAATACAGACAAAACAAACGAACCATAGAACTGACAACAGAGAGGACATAGCCATATTGAAACGCTTGCGAAGTTAGCGAGCCGTTTGAATTCGCTTCGGTTCTGTCACAGACCCGACACAGAATGGTATGATAGCTTGTTGGTAGCACAAGGTCAACTGTCAGACGGTTGAGCAAAGCTAAAAAGTCGGCACGTGAATCCTAAAACACACAGGCTCCTGTCATATTTGGCACAGTGTTTATTATTGAAATGAACTTGATCCGGTCACGAGAAATTCTCGTGCGATTAGCATACTGTGAGCTATGATATTATGCATCATGTGTTTATTCCTTGTTTGGTGACAAGAGATTGACGTGTGGCAGATAGTCCAGGCCGGCTTGAAAATGTCTAAAAGGTCCAGACACACCGGACGCGATTCGACAATGCGACGTTTATTTTTCGATTTTCACTGACCGATAACTTTGATTCTAGTTTAAATTTTCCAAATATTTAGAACCGCTATAACATTCTGAGTTATTTGATCTACATATATTTCACAATTTGCTCTCATTGGCTGTTTTATTAACTTTCAAAACTAAAAATCGCGTCGCGTCCGGTGAGTCTTGACGTTATCAGCACCGTTGCCAAGAAATCTTTAACACAATATATTCGGAGAAAATTTTCTTACATCTTGTAGAAAACTTTTGTCATCTTATATATTGGAATGCCAAATAATTTACTCACTGTTTACAAAAGCGTTTTGCAAGTAAAGATTAGTCAACATCGCAAACATCAAAACACGGCGAAGGCAAGCCGAAGTTGTCTTGTGACAACTTGTAACAACCTTGTCGAAATTATCAGACTTGTTGCAAGGTTGTTCTGACAAGTCCGTTACATGCTTGATGCAACAAGATTGTTAAAACCTTGTGTTGACAACCTGGTAACATCCTTGTTATGTCATGGCTGTAACAAACTTGTTGGCACAGTCTTGTAACAAGACTGATAATGTCACCAAGCTTGTTACAAGTGGTTAACAGCTTGTTCCAAACTTGTTACAACGAACTGGGAACAAGCAGTGCGAACACAACTTGTTGACAGATTGTTAACAGACTTGTAACAACTTGTTTGCAGACTTGTTACAAACTGTGCGTTTTTACGCGTGTAGGAAAAAGACGATTTTAGTACTGGAGGAAGTTGATGTGTAAAATCTCGCAAAGGCGTTTCTGTATATGGTTCCAAGAGGAATGGATTTATCTTAGATTTTCAACTATTAAATCATGACATGTATGTCATTTTAATCATTCACAGCCGGAAACCGTCGTGGCTATAAGGTATGCCGAAATCCGGTATCCTTTATAACCACAAACCGCCTAGGCTGCAAGGTATGGCGAAATCCGATATTCGTAATAGCCACAACCGCCTAGGCTGCAAGGTATGGAGAAAAAAAGGAATACCGAATGGTTTTCCGTTTCCGTTTACGCTTTCCGAAAGTCTCGCAACATCCCGCGTGCATGGATCATGCTACCCTGCACGAGAAAACCATTTGGTAATTGTTTTATAAAATTACTACAGTGAAACGACGCTTAACTTGATTAAAATTACTGATAAAATGTGCAGTTTTCACAACATTCGTGAATTAACCAATCAGGGAATCGCTACTCCACGCTATTGAAAACAACAACATATGTGAACAGAATTTGATCGCAAATTCGCGAAAATATACAGCGAAAATACAGGGACTTTTTCGATAAAATACACAAAATTTGAAATGGAAAACCCGCTAAACAGAGAGGCAAAGTAGTTTTGAAGATTCTCGACCTGAATATGTGAAGATTGCGAAGCGTTTCATCAACTTTGAAGCGAGAGATGTTGTACTTGCATGCCATGGTCTGATTAATTTCAACGCTACGCGTTGCAGACGGTTGCTACTTGCTGAATAGCAATGTATCAATTAGAAATTTCTTCATACAACTAAACCAACGTCTCAATAATTGGAAACTTACTTCAAAGTCGAAAGGCATCGTACAATGAAACTTTACAATGCGAGAATATTTGTAAAATTATGTGCAAGAATTTCTGTTCAGAATTTCCCGTGCAGGATTGTCTGATCCTGCACGGCTGTTGACCAATCAAATTGCGTGTTTCACTGAAATAATCCGATATTCGTGATAGCCACAAACCGCCGTGGCTATAACGAATACCTAAAATCATGCAATATGCTTATACGCATGCTCAGGTGCATATTACAAGATTTTGGTACATATATGGGCGTGCTCATAAGCATACTAAAATCCGGTATCTCATAAGCACGCTCATTCATTCACGAAAATCATGCAGTATACTCATATCAGTAGTGTAAACACAGTAAACAAGGCCCCATTCGCGGCTACCAGAGTCACCAGAGGTGTGATCGACCTCGAGGTCTGATCGATATCGAATTAGAGGCATTAGCAGCGATAACTATTGGTCACTATTGACACAATTAAATGCAAACACAAAATGTCTATTTTGAAGACTCGTCGGTAATGATTTGTACTTTATACACAAAAGTCCGTCGTTATTAATACTTTATAACTAAAATACTTTGGGGAAGTATAGCTGAAACCTAAAACCCCTAACAGGGGCAAGGGGGGTGGGGGGAGGCGGTTTTTGTATTTTGTGAGCGCATATAAAAAATGTATTGCTCGATATTTTTTCTTGTGCAATATTGTTTTGCATGCTCTCCCCCTTCCAATCAAAAATCAAATGGTCGGCCCCTAAAAATGCCAAGTTTCCTATTATAATCTTCAGTTTGTCCCTACAGTCCTTAAACATTTCTCCACATATACTTTCTTCCATTTTGTATTAAAATGTGATTAACCGTGTTTACACCATCATTCATCGATTATCTCAAAAATTGTAATGCCGAATTTCATTTAAATTTTCACTGAAAATAATTTCATCAAACTGACAGATATCTTGCTCGGTTTCAAAATTTATAGTAATACCATTTCTTTCTACTGTCTTTCTCACATGCGTGTCGCAATATGCGTAACGATATCCGGTTATGGTGGCTTTCAGATGAACAGGAACATTAGCTTGAACCTTAATTGGTACAGGTAACATGACACCAAACCCAGACGAGCCAAAATCATTATGTTTTGAATGAAATTTCTTTTCAATTATTCGAGACGAAACCTCTAACTTCACGTTATATTCCTTCTGTTTTTTAACACCGTGAAATTTCACTGGCTTACTAAGTGATACAACTAGTGTGTCCGCCCGAGTGCTCACTGTGGTTGAGAACCCACAACTTACATAGCTATCAAATATACGACATCTTATTGAGACATCTTCTTTTGCTCTTGTTTTTGACATATTCCATATTTCGGACGTTCTGTCTGCTCCACCCAATTTCCCATAGAATAAAAGCATTTCTTCTGGTGTAAGTATACCCGACTGGGGAACATTCTGAGCGAAATCTTGAAGTGTCATAGAAGCAAAACGAATCTGATAGATTGCATTTCCCATGGCGGCTCGTTTGTTCTTTGCATTCGCTTCTATTCCCTTTCTTGAGCATTCCGCTTCGCTCCATTTTAAAACTGCTTTGAAAAGATCAACCTCTTTGATTTTCAACGGTTCTCGCTTCAATAACTGTACTAAAGTTGCTTGATTAATCTCAAAAAATCCATCAGAAGCGACAGCTTCGCTTGTTTGCAAGTCTATGAAATCCCAGCACTTCTCCTCAAGTTTATTTTCGTCAAATTGAATTGCTTGCTGTAAAAGTATGAAAACATTTTCTACTGCACAGTTGGCGTCAAAATATTCAAAACATTTCTGAACGAGCGAGGGCACGATATACTTCTTGGCCAAGTACAATACAAACACGGCATTATTTGTTGTCAAGTTACACTCGTCCGTGTAAAGAAATCGTAGAAATTCCTGCAGACTTTCCTCGTCAGTATCGCTCAGATGAACAACTGAATTCTTCTCTGCCAGCTCGCCGTAAAACATCGCATAAAATACAGCACTACTTGTGGCGAGGACATATTTATGTGCGAAGAATTTCTTGTCTGAGCCTTCACAACTGAACGCGATGTCGCTCATGAACGGATTATTAAACATATGACGACTTCGTTCTAACACCGTCTTCTTCGTCGATTGCCAGTCCACCTCTTGTTGAGATGTTGCCATTTTGCTTCAGGTCGCTTAGAAAACAAACTTAGTCGGTTTATTTTAGTATGAAGTGAGCAGAGTTAATATATACTGCAGAGTTTGCACAAGAAAGCGGAAGTATATATTTGCATAAAATCGAAACTTGAAATTCAATCCTCAGTTTTCTTGAAAGATGACTGGCTTCTGACTGTTCTAGACGTATTTTAAGCCACTCACAACACTTGTAGTTGTGTCTTTGCATTCTAAATATGATAAAACACACCTAGGCGTGCTTTTGATATATTTCCTTTTTGAAGTTTGTACTAACGAATCACTAGTCTCGACACATACATTTTTATACTTATTCAAAAAATGCGTGAAATGCGTCATTACTAACATCCTTGTTATATCATGGCTGTAACAAACTTGTTAACACAGTCTTGTAACAAAGCTGTTAATGCCATCAAGCTTGTTACAAGTTGTTAACAGCTTGTTTCAAACTTGTTACAACAAACTGGGAACAAGCAGTGTGAACACAACTTGTTGACAGCTTGTGAACAGGCATGTAACAACGTGTTTGCAGACTTGTTACAACTTGTGCGTTTTTACGTGTGCAGTTGACAAGTTGTAAGATTTTTACGTGTAGTAGAGTAGTTTGGGAGTCTCCCACCAGCATCACGCACAGAGGTGAAATAGGACGACACGATCCTCTCCTTCAGTTTTCCAAGGTGTCTTTTCCAGGCAATTCATTTAGTTCCGAGGAGAAATATCTGGTGAACAAACTCATGTCTTTGATTTACTTCATAATCTTTGAAACTCTGCAAAATTTCACCCCAAAATGCTTTGAAATCGCATTTCAGGGACTCTAGATTTCAAAATTTTCCCGGGAGGCAAGTCGAGGTGGTCTGGTGTCGAGATTGAAGTTTATCACAATGTGCAGCACCTTACATTCTCTGAAATCAGCGACGTAGCCAGGGGGGGGGGGGAGGGGAGAGGGGCAGTCGCCTTTCCAATCGCTGACTAAGCCGTCTCGATCTCGGACGACGACGATTTACTGGAGAAGCTTGACGTGTAAAATCTCGCAAAGGTGTTTCTATATATGGTTCCAAAAAGAATGGATTTAGCTTAGATTTTCAACTATTAAATGACATGTATGTCATTTTAATCATTCACAGCCAGAAACCGTCGTGGCTATAAGGTATGCCGAAATCCGGTATCCTTTATAACCACAAACCGCCGTGGCTGCAAGGTATGGCGAAATCCGATATTCATAATAACTACAAACAGCCGTGGCTATAACGAATACCTAAAATCATATGAGCATGCTCCGGAGCATATTACAGGATTTTGGTACATTTCCCATAAGTACGCTCATTCATTCATTCACGAAAATCATGTAGTATGCTCATATCAGTAGTGTAAACACAGTAAGCAAGGCCCATAGATGCACGGCTACCAGAGTGAGGTTTGATCGACCTCGAGGTCTGATCGTAGAAGCGATAACTATTGACCACTATTGGTCACTATTGACAATTGACACAATTAAATGCTCACAAATAACCGAAAATGTCTATTTTGAAGACTCTTGGATTTATACATTATTCCCAAAAGTCCATCGTTATTAACACTTTATAACACCTAAATCCCTAACAGGGCCTCATCTTTTAATTTTTGATGGGGCAGGGGGGGAGGGGGGTGGTGGTAGGATATTTCGTGAGCACGTATAAAAAATGTATTGCTCGATATTTTTTATATATATATTTTTTGCATGCTGCCCCCC